CCTATATACACACGTGTGGTCAATTCTTGTTACTCATGGAAAGTATGTTCGATAAGGTTGTTGCTGACACTGGATTGATGAACACTGAACCGTCGCTCCCAGAGGAAAGGCGGGGTTGAGTTTCTCCAGTCGCATTTTTGTTAGCTGACTGATACATGGCCTTGTTTTACTCTATTTAAATACATCTTATTCAGTAACATTAACTCATGGCCAAAATACTATGAGCTTCATTGAGGCATGACCTAGTATTTTTCTCCACAAGGCACATCAGCCTTTCTGCATTTACAACACCAGCCAGCACTGCCATGTTACACTTGGGAGCCATTTTAAACAGTGAAATCGCAAACAAAAAGCACAACAATGTGAAAAACTTGGCACTAAATAGACCGTGAAAAAGGACACTTGTTTACAGTTATGAGAGGAAACAAGAAAGCAGAGCCTCACTTGGTTCAGCCCTAGCTGGGAACACGTGGGTCACATGACTCAAGTCTTTTGACGCTGTCAGTGTTTGCCAAGGACCATGAGAGTGCTGTGAGCGAGTTTAGAAGTAAATTTTGGTGAGTAGACAAATTTGCAAATATGGAATCCACCAATAAAATCAACAGTATATATGTATATACATACACACATATGTGATTATATGTTTTCTCTTATATATACTCTGCCCTACAAATCTGGAGTTTGCAGACTAAAAGATTACTATATGAAAACCATCTGTGAAGAAAGCTCTATTTACTAGGCACCTATCTTTAGCAGAGCAGATTAAACTATGTAATTGTTTCCCTCTGTAACTGCATCCTGAGAAAATAGCTAGAGATATTTATTCTTGGACAATCTGAAGGGTAGGTCTGGGACGGTATGAAAAAATTTAGACTGTGGATTTACACGAACTGTTTGTGGGACTTGGGGAGCAGCTGAGACAGGTAAAAAGTCCTTCAGAGCAGCTGTAACAGGCAAGGTGAAGGGCCAGCTGACAGCCAGTTATGAGAAACCCATTTATATACTAAAATACTGTGGGCAGAAGATGACTAAAATACGAAACCCAACTGAGAGTCACAAGGGCAAATAAATGTTTTCAATCCAGGAATTGATTGGGATTTAGGTGTTTTTTTTTTTTTTTAAATCTTCCACATGAAAACTCTAAAGTAGCTTCCAGTGAGCAAAAGAAGAAACTTATAAATGGATAATGAGTCACCTGAATAAGGAAGTCAGCTGGTAAGAAATAAAAAATTCCCCAAAAAGAAATAAAAATTCTCATTAGAAAAATCTACTTGAATTGAAATTATCAATATCTGCAAGTGCTCTGAATCTCAAAATTGTAGCTAATATCTATAAAACTCCTTTATGTATCTTCTGACAATCTGATCCCACTATTTGTGTGGGAGGAGACAAAACTGGATCCTCATAAACTCATTCATACGATTTGTGTTTTGACCTGACAAACACAAAAGAGAGCTCTGAACAATGGGGCTTTCAAGTCCTACCTGTCACCTCAGGAACTGCTACTTCTAGAACAATGAGTTATTTCTAAAACATCTTTCTAATCAGTTTATATACGCAAAGACTAACTTACTACAAAATCTTAGTACCGGTAAGGTTCAATAATAATCTATATGCTTAACATTCTGGAAACTTAGCTAATGAGTCTAGAATAAATTTGAGTATATTATAGTTCTGAAAGAAATAAAATGATGTTTCAAAACAGCATAGTAAACATAGTTGGGTTTTTTTTTGAGGCGAAATCTCACTTTGTTGCCTCAGTAGAGTGCAGTTGCATCACAGCTCACAGTAACCTCAAACTCTTGGGCTCAAGCTATTCTCATGCCTCAGCCTCCCATGTAGTTGGAACTATAGACACCCCACCACAACGCCTGGCTATTTTTGTTGTTGTTGTTGCAGTTGTCATTTTCGTTTTAGCAGGCCCATGCCAGGTTCGAACCTGCCAGCCTTGGTGTATGTGGCTGGCGCTATAACCACTGTGCTATGGCACCAAGCCAAATTGCTTTTAAAATAGTCTCCTAAAATGGGAAGGTGCTCTAGTTACATTGTTGTTACTAAAAATCCCTCCAGATCTTTTTGAGACTGGCTTTCACAATTAATGCAGCACGAGTATCAGTGGTGGTCATCCTCTCCTTTCAAAGTACACCTGATTAGGTGTTGTAACAAGCACCAAAAATCATCCTTAGATAAGTATAGTGCAGAGGTGATAAACAGGTCAGGTGGATAATTTATTTTAAGAGACAGAGTCTCACTTTATTGCCCTTGGTAGAGTGCTGTGGCGTCACAGCTCACAGCAACCTCCAATTCCTGGGCTTAGGTGATTCTCTTGCCTCAGCCTCCCGGGTAGCTGGGACTACAGGCGCCCACCACGACACCCAGCTATTTTTTTGTTACAGTTTGGCCAGGGCTGGGTTTGAACCCACCACCCTCGGTATATGGGGCCAGCACCTTACTTACTGAGCCACAGGGGCCACCCTGGATAATGTTTTTTGATAGTGTAGGTGAAAACTATTTTTTCTCATTCAGTTTCTAAACTGATTTTTCTCATTTAGTTTCTAAAGTTAGTTATAAGAGCTCTAAAAGTAAGTTTTGAGCAATTACAGCACTACTGACAATAGTAAAATATATTTGGGCAACAGAAATTCACAGACAACCTTACTCTGAGAATACCACAGTTGGCTCAGATGCATAGTACACGTTAAGTATGATGGCCTTGACTTAAAGAGGTATTATGCACTTTCTTGCAGATGTGGCTAAAGCCCTGTAAGAAGGCAGACATACCAAAACGACCAAGTTATGTTGCTCCATTGTATAAGACAAGTGAACGAAGAGGAACTTTATCCACTACTGGCCATTCTACAAATTTTGTGATTGCCATGACTCTTCCCTCTGACCAACCCAAGGAGCACTGGATTGGACGGGGCGTAGCATTGTTATGTCAACTTAATTCATAACCAGGCAATGTCATTTCCTTGTTCTTATTTCTGGTTAGATGGTTGAGTAGAAAGTATATTTTACTGTTTAAACAATTTCTTTGGTTTAAATAAATTTGACTAAAGTTACACTTAATTATGAATTTACTTATGTGAAAATGCCAATAATTTTAAATGATTCACATTTCAATGTAAGAAAATGTTCTGAAATAAAGACTAAAGAAAACACAGTGGTATATTTGCTTACTGTTTTTGAGTAACTTTATTTTGGGAGAGTTCCATAAGCATTAGGAACATACATAAAATGACACACCACTGTTGACAATGAAAAAAACCCAGCATTTGATCATTTCCAGCTTTATAAATTTTTAAAAAATGATTCAGTTACAACAAAAAAAAAAGTTTAGATATTTCAGCAAGTATCACCTTGCAGGACCATAATCACATTTAAGCCACTGACTTACTGTTAATGGAAAAAATTCACACTGTATCTAGTTACTATAGTATTTCTAAGCATAATCACAGCTGATTGAATGCAATGTGATATACACCAAAATTCATACGGATGTCACACAGTGACAGCATTGTACAAGTAACATTAATGATCTCCAACAAACACATGTTAAATTGACTAGTCAAGCTAAATGGAATGTTGGAGCCAAACAGAAATGTAGTGGAATTCAGATTGTCTATTAAGACTTGAAACTATACATTAGAATGATGTAAAAACTAAATACTGGTGGAACCCTAAGAAAATACTAGCAGCAACTGGTACAGCCCTCTGAAAAGATTTTAAAAATCTAGCAAACAAAGATAATACCATTTTTGAGAGAATATAAAAACTTTATATAGTTCAGCATAACCCATTTGCTTTAAACCAGGCATTTATTTTAAAACTAGTAGTATATTCCAGCTATTGGTTTTATACAAGTTTTTAAATGAAGATTTAATGCTGGAATGCAGAATTCTCCTTGGGTATAAAAACCAAAAATGAACTATAAATACATCTTGGTTCAGAAATCAAGACATTTGAATTACTTAAAATTGGCAGTACTAAATAAAATATCAGCACCTTTTAGCTAGGTTGCTTGTAGGGCCAAGCAATGAGATGAGGACTGTCCTAATTCAGTGCCCAATGCTGAAAATAATCCATGTATCAAACTGCTACTTATTACCAGGAGGCCATAGAGAATTCAGAAATAAGTTTTCAAATTCAAACATAAATTAAAGAAATAACACCACCTAGGCTCCCTTGCTTACAGCGTAAAGAATAAACACTGGCAATAATCTATTAATACCTGGGTGCATGTGCTGCCCTCAAAATTCTATTCTGTTTTGTTTTAAAGTTCATAGAGTAAGAGGAAAGCAACAGGAGAAAAGAGGACAACTAAATGCAATATTTTAAATGGAATGGAAGAGTTTGGCTCTTATATATTTGAACAAGATTTTTAAAGCAGCTACAAGCAGATTAAAACAAAGCTAGCTGCACACAGTTCAAATACAGTTCACCTGGCGTAAATGAAGACCTATGGCGCAAGACAGAAACAGAAAGCTACATGCATATGACTAATACTACCAATTAGTAAGTCAAAATTCAGGATAAACATAGCTTGCACTTCTCACAAATAATTCGCAACTATGGTAGGGCACCTAAAAAAGAGACTAATCCTTGCCAGGCACCAAAAGCATATCTTGGCACAAAATGATCAAGTGATTCCAGCTTAGTCATTTAAATGGTATCTTCCAAGTCACTTGGTACCATGTCGGCCACGGTATCAATGGAGTTTACTCTAGTAACTGTTTTGACACTACATGTACAGATTTATCGACATGGTAAACTTGGATTTTCTGCCTTACCGCCTTTCTGTCAGTCACAGCATGTGCTCTTGGTTCTAATGCCAAACTGGTAAACCAGTGTGAATACCCAGAACTTAAATTTCCCAATTAACTAGTTGGTACTTTTAAAGTAAGAAAATCTACTATTTAGACCACATTTGGGTTGATTTCTTTGATATGAGGGTTACAATT